TAATTGTAGCTTAAGAGTTGTGCATTGTTGCCTTGTTTATGGCTTAGTTTGTATGCATGCATGCCTAGGCATTTGAGCCCCCATCTCAGCATGCTTTGGTGTTTGTTCTGACCCATTTGAGCTTTGTCCATGGTTGGTTCATGCATTTATGCCATGTATTGCATGTCCCTTGTATAGTCCTCTTTGCTAGCTTTAATGCTTTACGGACCCTAGTATGCTATGCTTGTGTTGATTGAATGATTTGGCATCATTTCATACCTAATTTCAGTGCTTATAGTGTTGTTACACTTCTACATTTGTCACTTCTTGAGCACTCTGGAGAGTGGTGCTGTTAGGCCTAGTTGATAGGTCATTGCATGAGCATGATTTGTTTAGCATTTCATGCCTTTATTTTAGCATTATGGCCACTGATTTGGGCACAATTGAGGTCTGTCCATTTCAGTTTAAGTCCATTAAACATGTTGTTTGAATCATGTTATATTGCATTGTGTATGCTATGTGGTTGTTTGCATTGTGTATGCCATGTTCTTGTTTGCGTCATCGTGTATGCCATGTTCCATTGCATTGTGTATGCTGTATTGTTATTTGCATTGTGCATGCCATGTGTTGTTTGTATTGTGTATGTCATGTTACATTGCATTGTGTATGCATGCCATTAGCATTGGTAGGATAGCATGTCGTTTGCATGCTTGTTGTTCGCATTGTGTTTAACATGCTTGTTGTTGCATTGCATGTGTTTGGATTAGGTGTTAGTCCAAACACGAGAAACGAGGGGCGTTTCATACTTGAAGTGATGAAACGTGCCTTAATTCTCGGTCACCGACACTCTTGATCATACATGATAGAGTTTAAGGCATTTATGTGTTATGTGTGCATTCATTTCACATTGAATTGTGCAATTTGGCTTCTCGGCCATCACGCATCGAGATGCGCGATTGGTGTCCCGAGGGTCAAGAACCACACTCCCTTGAGCTCATGAAATGATAGGGTGGGTGGTTGTGTACACATATCTTGCAAATACATTGCCATGCCCCTTCTTGTTCTCTGTTGCCGCAAACTGGAAGAGTGAAGCAAAAACTGGTCGACCGACCAGAAAAACTAGCTGGCCGACCACTTTTTTCTGGTCTGCAGCAAAGATAGGTGGTCGGCAGGTGGTTGGCAACATCGACAACTGGTCGGCCATGTTCCTACAGGTTCCCATGGTGGAGTTGAAGCTATCTGGAGCTTGGTGCAGTGTTCTGAGAACAAGTGCAAACAGAGGCAAATTGGGGCATCGCGATGAATTTCCGAACGAGGCGACCGAGCATGCATACACTTCTCGCCTCGAGGCTCCTGTTTTATTGCTTTGCTTAGATAGCTAGCTTATGCTTTGTTTTGTACTTAAATAGTTAATGCGTTTAGCTATTTGATTTGTGTTGTAATAACTAGTTAGTTAACTTGTTAGTTAATTAGCTTGTTTTATAATAATTAGTTAACTAGGATTAGTTAATTAGTTGGCTTGTAATAATTAGTTTAATTAGCTTAAATTAGCTAGTTAGCTCATTATTCGAACCCTCCGTCGAGAGGGCCAATTGTTGTAATAAACGTGTGTGTGTGCGATACATGTCTTCCAACCTCCATTTCTTTCTCCATTTTACTTAACCGCTTACAATGGTTAGTTTTAGGGCATATTTCAATTAGCTTACCTTATGCTTGCATGCGTGCACCCATTCATCTGTCTTGCATGCACCGGGCTCGGCGCATCATACTAACTGCATTGTATTTCAATACATTTACTTGAATACGTGTTCAACTACATGTTATCAAGTTGCATTCACATGCCATCTTAGAATAGCCGGGCCTATCTTAGTCGCATTTTGCATGTGTTGCATTATCCATCTTAACACGAACTAGGATCATGCATGATTTCTAACTAGTTCTCTGTTTTGGCTCGGAGTATACTGTGAGTGTTTATGCTTTAGCATACTGCATGAGATGTGTATGTTGCCATGTATAGCATGCTTGCCATGAGGCTAACTGCTTAAGTGATTAACTGCTTGAATGCCTGTGGGTGAATGTTGGATTGCTTGAATTGGAACAATTCATCAAAATGTGTATTTTAAGCCCACTTGAGGGTGGCAAAATCCATGACTTAGCCTACTTGCGAGTAGTACCTCTAAACCGTTTTCAAACAAACGAACATGCAGTGTTTTATTCCAACTTAGGCGATCTAGTCTATACTTGTATGCTGTGTGCATCACATAGTAATTCTAGGTTAAATAACCGGAATAAGAACACATGTATTTTCAAAAACAAAATATCATATTAGTGAAGGCCGATCTTTGATCGGGCGAGCGGGGGTGCTCATTGCATGACCTTCCCCTCTCGTACCCAAGTTCTTGAGCCGAGGCAACTTTGGTGATGACGGACACGTGGCCTTAGCCACGAGTCAGGGTTTCCTAAATTTTTCAAAATCAAAACATTTAGGTGGCGACTCTATATCTTGCAAAGCAGTCCATGTTTGGCACTTCTTTATTAAAAGTGATTTTCCAAAACGATTTGCCGGATTTGGACTCTTTGGTGATTTATCGGTATCACATTGCACTTTGTGAGATTAGATTCAGAACCGTGACACGAGTCTGAACTGTAGTAGCTGAGAACAAACAATTCGCGCCCTTGTGCGCGGAGCCGAGAGTTCTCGGGGCAGTCTACACACCTTAGCTGCGTAGCACTAGATCACTCCTCCTGCGGCTACACCTTAGCCGCGAAGTACTGGATCAATCCTCCGTGTGCTGACGTCATTGGCTTGGTCAGCGGCGCGGCTCGGCTCGACTCAGTCAGCGACTCTAGTCAACGCCGGCTCGGTCAACAGCTGATCAGCGACGCGTGACGTCACGCTGACATCAGACCCACGTGTCTTCTCACTCGTCTTCTTCCTTCGACAGCGCGTGGGGCGCATGACTGCGCGTGAGTCTTACGCGCCTTTTTCAGGCGGCGCGTGTGGGCTTCTATGGGGCTCTGCTTTGCATTTCTGGTCTCCTCTCGTCGAGACCTTGCTACTGATATGCTCAAAACCTAATTTCAAGCAATTTGATTTCTGAGCAGTTTCAAAAAACACTCTGTTTTTGTTTCGAAACGCCACCGACAAGGCTCTGATACCACTTGTTGGGATCAGGGATCCTGCCCAAGACCTTGCAGAAAATATACCAAGCAGTAAAACACACCTACACTCAAGGAGGCACCATATTTAACATGGTTTGGCCTCAATGCCTACTTCCACGGGAGAGTAATCGGTTATCACTATAACAATGGAGAGATTATAGAAAGATTATAATAGAGGAGGAGCTCAAACTATCCTCCCTTAGCCACTCTCCCATCTCCCTCGCTCACACCGAGAGAGACGGTCTCTTTGCCTCACATCTCTCACTCTCTTGGTTTGTTCTCTCTCAGTTTGCTCACTTAAGCTCCACACTCTCTTCCTCTATTTATACACAAATGAGGGAGAACCTCATTGGTTGCCACCTACCTTCTTCCACTCTCTAGTGGGTTGGAGTTGGTGAGCCACCTATCTTCTTCCACTAGCTAGTGGGTTGGAGCCACCAAATGGGTTGATATCCAATAATGTGTGCAACTCTTCATTTTGTTTAAGACAACAATATACAAACACAAATTTTATTTTATTTTTAAATTTAAAGAAGTACAATTCATATAATATTGACAATATTGCATTCATCTTGTATCGGCTCACATTACACCAAAATTAATATAGCTTTTGTCAATATTACATTACAAGCATTTTTTTAAAGAAACATTCATCTATTTTGTAAAGCATTTTTTTAAGGGTCAGGTTTCTCTCTAGTCCAAGATCGAACTGGAGCGTACTATTGGGCCTGTGGGGGCTCACCACGAGTTCTGTTTTGATGATTCAAATCATTTAATGTGTAAAACTCACCTAGCATTTCAACCGTACAAAAAATCACGTTAATCAGATATTGATACCTACTTGATCAAATCATTCTGTCAACGGTAAATATGATTTTTAAAATAAATATTGGACAAAAATTTAATCTGATCAAGTAGTGATCAATACCCAATCAACGTGTTTTTTTGTAAAAATGAAATACTCGACAAGCTCTATACATTGAACGGTTCAGATCATCGAAACAGGATTCGTGATGAGCCCCATGGGCTTAAACAATGTACTGGAGAGAATCTGAGTCATTTTTTTAAAGGTAGGAATCAAATGACTAACTTGTTCTTATTTACATTCAACAAAAATAAATATAAATATGTTTCTTATTTTCTATAAATGAAAAATAACAAACTATAAATATTATCAATTCGAGCTTTAGTCTAGATTGTTCATGAAATAAACAAGTAAGTTCCATCATACTTTGCTTGATAAGCTCTTAAGCATTTGAAGACTATAGAGAAATTGAGACTAATTGAGCATGCAATGAGAATGACTCAAGGAGAAGCCAATCAAAGATCATTCATGAGATAAACAAAGACAAGATTGTTCTTTATTTGAGCCTCAATACTATTTTGAAGCATTTTCTACTTAGAGCATTAGCAATGGACTAGTTAAATGTTTTAGTGTCAGTTGCTAATTTTTGACCAGCTCAAAACACTACTTTGTGTTCCAATGAAGTTGGTAACTTGTGTGTTAGTGTTAGTTGTTAGTATTGTGTGTTAACTTATGTGTTAACTGTGGCTACGGTTTTAGCTAGCGAGAGAGAAGGAGGGAGACATGGGGAAGTGTCGTGGGGTCATCTAGCCGAATATTCGGTCGATCGTCCTCCCGGACGTCCGGACCCTTCAAGTAAAAATAAATAAATAAATAAATTTGCAGTTGACCGGCCGACTGTTTTTTTTGGCTAGCCGACTTTATTTTTAGTGTCAGATGCTAAGTGAACAAGCAGGAAAAAGAAAAGAGAAAGAGAGAGAGGGGCACTGACAGTACAGTGGGGTGGGGCCCACTGCACTTTTCAATTATTATTTTTTATTATTGTTTATATATATATATATATATATATATATATATTTTAACACACATCTTAACACATTCATTGCATCACTACTTACTTTTTAAAATTAACACACCTTAATACACATTTTTAAGTCTCACATTTATCACTTTAACTATCCCATTGTAGATGCTCATAGCGACTTGTCTTCATCAATACTTGTGTAAATTGTTAATCATCGAATAACGCAACTTGTCGTCCATATAATGGTTGCACAGGTCTGTAATTATTCTTACATGTCGATAGCAATGGAGCCTTCAAAGCATTAATTTGGTTATTAGATATTGGTCTCTCCTGCATTTTGTACAAGGATACAGATTTTCATTTCCTAAATGCTTTAGAAGTGATAAAAAAGAACTCAAAAATACATAAAAATGTTTGGAAACAGATTTGAAATCTATCAAAATGTGTAAAAATCTAATAATTGATTAATTAAAGGGGAAATATCGAATAAGTAGTATTATCAAAAAATAATTACAATTTTTATAAATTAATAATTATAATTATAATATTTGTCATTAATATATAATTATTTGTTGAAAAATCCACTGAGGTGTAATTGCCCCTTAATTAAACACATTGAGATTTATATAGTCATCCATATAAAAGATTATTAAGTATTGTCTAACAACTTAATTTTATTAAATATTAAATACAAGTGTAAAACATTCTAAAAAAGTGCGTACAGTCCCAACAAAATAAGATGTAAAAATTTACTTGGATATGTAGTTATAATAATATTATTATATATATTAGGAGTAACTGTATTTATTAGAATATGCTAAAATAAAGCCTGTCATTTTTTTTCCCTAGGAACAAACACAAATTCATGTCAACACAATTTATTAGTTCAATATATTGCACTGCATGTTGATGTGTTTTGTAATATTCTAGTGTATTTTTGATGAAAACACAAAGATTTTATTATTATACTAGTATTTCCCTTCGTTCTTTTTAAGAAAAGGAAATATTCTAATTATTCTTTATTCTAGAAGAAGCAAATGAAAATTTTGTTGTTGAAATGAACTAGCTAGTACCTCGCCCAAGACATGCCAGATAACATTCTCAGTGCATGGAGGAGTGGTGAGAGAACCAACATATCTATAATACTTGTTGGTTTTTTTCCACAATTGCGAGGTGTCAAAGGTCCCAATATCAATTTCTGTTTCATTACTTGCCAACTTAGCTAATTGACTTTGGATCTGCAACCATGAAGCACCACAAATTAGGAACTTGTGAAACTCTTTCGTTTATTTTAAAACCATATATTACAAATTCAATACAAAGCTTTCTCATAGTCACTTCTATTTTTGGCTATAATACTATCACCAAACTGTGATTAGGGATGCCAATTTCTCTCTACTCCATCCCTGATAAGTCCTATTAAGGCAAGGATTGGTTTTTGTTCTCGAATTAGGATCCCCTCCAATTTAGAATTCAGACTGAAGGGTGCTGTTTAGATCCGTAGGGCCCACCACAGGTACTGTTTCGATGATCCGAACAATTCATTTTGTTGGACATTTTGTCTATTTCTTTCACAAAAAAATTTAAGTCAATCAGATAATTGTAACTTATTTAATTCATTGTGTTTGTCACTAAAAAAATGTATAGTTTATTTTTAAAAACATAATTGTTAGCTATTTTTTTAGTGAAAAATTAAACAAGTTACAATTATCGGATCGACCTAATTTCTTTTACGAATGAAATACATGAAGTGCCCAACAAAATTAACAGTTCAGATCATAGAAACGGAACCCGTGGTGAACCTCAATGACCCAAATAGTACCCCCTCCAGTCCAAAATCTGGATTGGAGGGGATCCTACTCCTCTCTTCCCAACCCCATTAATTCTACCATGCCCCCACCCTAATTATATTTGTTAAATCTATTTGTTTGTGTATAATACATATTCTAAAATATAGGATTAAAATATCAAAATATTGGGAAAGATTATGGCACACACTCCTCAAAGTCTGTATATGACATAATTTCATACTTTCTTCTAAGTCATAGATAAATAAATAAGTCATAACCAAAACGCAAAAAAGTTATAACTAAATATTTCAAAATAATGTCATAACTAAATAAGAAAATTGTATAACTAAAGGTGCATATAGTATGGGTGATGTGTATGATAAAATACTCCCAAAATATTACACTCAACGTTCATTTATATTTCTTTATCTCTAATATATAATTCTCATCACTTAGAGCATCTCCAACGATGACTCAAATTTTTCACCCAATCTGAGTAAAAAATGACTCATTTCACCAAATTTGATACCACTCACTCCAATGGTTTACCTTTCACCAAATCTATCCCGGGACAACCGGGTGGTCGACCGGCCGGTTGACCGGTTAGGCAAAAAAAATTTTTTTTTTTTTTTTTCGGCGAATTGTCTGAACTTTTTTTTGAACTTTCTGAACTTTTTCGGGACGGCCGGGGTGGTCGACCGGCCGGTTGACCGGTTAGGCAAAATTTTTTTTTTTTTTTTTTTAACGGTTTGAACTTTTTTCCTGAACTGTTTGAATCTTTTACTAATTGACCGGTGGGTCAACCGGCCGGTCAACCGGCTGGTCGACCCGGTCCCCTTGCAACGGTCACCAACAGTATTTTGGTGAAATCAGTATTTCGTCGTCAGTTTGATGAATTTTTTGATGAAATCTCAATTTGATATTCATTTGGTACCACCGTTGGAGCTGTGAACAGTGGTTTTTTTTATCAAAATTTGAATTTGATATCAGTTTTGGTGAACCATTGGAGATGGTCTTAACAATTATTATCCATAACATATTACATCATCTTTCATTTTTATTAGTAGTGTCATTTCTAAAGCTGTAAAATTATCGCGCCTACCGCTCCTCCTCTGCCACCTCCCTGGATTTGCCCTGCCCTCCTCCCATCCAAAATATGATTAGCGGTGGCGGCGGGCACTACAAACCCGTCTCCACTTCCATCCCTAGTTCTAATTGATCAAATATGATGAAATGCAAGATATATTCTACCTTGCTAATAATAGGATCAGATTTGTTGCCATTGCCAAGTTCATAAAGGATGGCTATAACTGAGATGTTGGCATCGCTAGCCTTGTGGACTAGATGAAGCTCTGCATCGAATCTGTAATTATCAAAATTTAGCCATAAGCAACTTTGGAAGTGTAACTAGTAGAAAATATTTAGGGAAATTTCACTTTACCCCTTGTGGTTTAGTCTATGTGGGATTATCCCATTTATTTTTGTAAATAACCACATAGCCCTTTTGTGGTTTATGAACTGAAGTGCACCGTTAGACCTGTTAATAATTTAATAAAAAAGACTAAAATATTTCTGTATATAAGTAACTTAAGTATGTGAACTACGGATATTTTCATCATTTGTTTGGAAGGTAAAGTGCACCTTAACCTTTTGTGCTTTATTCTATATGTGATTTATCCCCTTAAAATTTGAAAATGAGCATATAAGCCGCCTTATGTCTGTCACGTGTTTCACACTTACTATTAAATTGGACGGAATATTTGATTAAACGCTTTAATCCACAAACCACAATGGGGTAATCCACACATGAACAAAAGCACAGGGTTAATCCGCACATGGATAAAAGCACAAGGTAAAATAAAATTTGTCCAAATATTTATGTCATTGTAATTGTAACAATTATGGGCGTATACAAAACTCGAAAGAGAGAAGACATACGAGGCATTATCAATTGTGTGCTCAGAATGAGTATGCCAGTGCATTTGCTGCAAGGTGTAGTTTTTTCCATTTCCAATCAACACTCCTGCTCCTGCATTTCCAAATTCCATCTACATGCAAAAATTCTACATTGAGCAATAACACACAATTCTTAATGCCACAAAATCCATTTTTTTTACCATTGCGATTAGTAGAGATTCTCCATTTTTGGGGGGGGTCTTATTTTCTCCTACCTAGAAACTTGATACTTTCATTTATATAAATAAACTAATATGCAAGAGGTCTTGTGAAAACCTCATAAGCCTATATTTACAAGGAGACTTCAAATTATTGAAAAATATTATTTTTACCCTCTGAACTATAAAAGCATATAAATGAATCACTTAAATTATTGAGAAGTATCGGTTTACCCCCTTAAAAAAATCAATAAATACACTTAAAAAGTATAATATTTGTGAAAAAAAATTTAAAAAAAAATTAATAAATACCAAAAAAAAAAAAAACCAAGAATTCAATATATTTTTTTTATTCTTGTATATTTATTATTATTTTTAAAAAAAATTTACAAAAATTTTACTTTTTAGATACATCTAAGTAAGGTGTATCTAAAAGAATAAAAAAATTGCTTAAAATTTTAAAAAGATTCACTAAAATAAAAAAAAATACGAAAAATAAAAAACTTAATTTCCAGAAAATTGAATCTAGAAAATTGAAACCAAGCACACTGATTGGTACGTTTTTATAATTTAGGGGGTTTGTTTGTACTCTTTTATAGTTTAGAAAGTTAAAGTGATACTTTTTAATAGTTTATAGATCTATTTATATGTTTTTATAATTTAGGAAATCAAAATGATATTTTTCAATAATTTAAGGAATTGTCATATAAATAACCCTTCACTAATTCAAAGTCAAAGTTACAGTTTGTCACTTCCTCGCACGCTCTAATTTTTTATTTTTTTTTTACCATTTACCTATTGTGCTTGCAAATGAGCCACCCAATATACATAATTGGCAAGAATGTACATAAATGAAGGAAATGAACCGTCAAATACATGAATGTGCTATAAACTCATATGAAAAATAGAGAAATATAACATTTCCATCTAATTAACTTCAAAAATTCCGTTACAAATTGGACAACTCAAACCTCAAACGTTAATAAATCTTTTATGTTTTCCTGAAATAACTTCAAATTTTTATTAACTATGACCATGGGTAACATACCTCAACATTGTAGCCATTGTTAACCAACGTGGCATTTACAGGGTAATATTGTCTTCTTAAGGGCTTCAAGGTTTTATTAGGAACAGCTTTGTTCTCCACAATGTTAATTGGAGACTGTGATTTTCCGTTCGAGCATGCCGCATAATCAGGGCTCAAGCTTCCCCATTTGTCAGGGCCAGTGTCGCCAGAGTAGCTAAACGCAGCACTTGTTTCAAGCTCTGGGGAAAAAAAACAAAAAAACAAAAAAACAAAATTAATCATTGTTAGCTGGATTATGAAAACATTTTCTCCTCCTAGCGATTGGCAGCAGTGATGGTGGTGAAAAATGCAATAGTGGTAGAGGTGGAGTAGTGATGGTGGTGGAAGCAGTAGCAGCGTGGTTGGTGGTAGAGGTGGTGGAACTCGTTTAAACGATTAAATGAATATTCATATTTAACCCATTTAAATTTAATTTTAATTAGATTTGTAAGATGTAATCCAAATCCATTAAAGTCCATGTAATTAAACGATTTATATTAGTCTACGTTCCAACTTCATATAGAGGAGAAGCACAGCAAATATATATATATGAGAAGTGGAGAGAGAGAGAGAGAGAGAGAGCATACCCTCTAGCTGTCTGGCTGTAGGAATGGCAAAGGTGTCGACAAAGAAGAATGCAGTGGCTATAATGGCCAGGAAGGTGAGTAGGGAAGCCATTGAAGGTGCAATTCTGTTTAGAATTCAATTGCATATCTATTATCTTCTACTACTACGGCTATTTATAAAGAGTTAGGGATACTCTTTTGAGATCCCTCATTGTGTTTGGATAATGAATTGGGACAATTGTAATAAAATGACACTACGACATATAAGATATTTAAAATGTCACTAATAAATAGATTTTTAGGAATAAAATAATTTGGTCTCAAAATGATTTATTTTTTGAGATAAAAAATTTGATCCAAAAAGATAATAATTTATCACTAATATTCAATTTTTGTATCTAAAATATAATAATGATACTTTTTGCAACAAAATTATTTGATCCCTAATATTGATATATAAGCCTTACTATACAAACACAATGTAGGGAGCATCCAACTGTTGATATTGATTTCCGAGGCGGAAATGCCTTTCGATTATTAACTAGAATAACACAAAGTGACGTATAAGCCCCCCACATTGTTTTATTTTCTAAAGAGGATATAGGAGACTTTTCGATTATTTAAGTAGAATGACACAACAAAGTTAGGTATAATCAATAATATAGGATATACGAGACTTTTCAGTAGTTAAGTAGAATAACACAAAGTTATGTACGATAATATAACCAACTTAGGTCTCGTTTGGAAACATGTTATTTTAGTAACTTTTTTATTTTTTGGCTAAAATATGAAGTCAAAAAAAATCAATATATTTGGAATGACTTTTTAATTTTTTACAAAAAGATATGTAAAAAGTAGAGAAAAAAGAAAATCTTTAACTTTTTGATATAGGTTATAGGCATTTTGATTTTTTAGGCCTCGTTTGAGAACATGTTATTTTAGTAATTTTTTGGCTTTTTTGCTAAAATATGAGATAAAAAAAAGAGGAAATATCATTTCTCCTCCCAAACTATCACGCGTTTTTCACGTTGACCCCCATACTTCGATTTATTTCAATTTAGTACCTGAACTTTCTACAAATTGATCAATTAGACCCCTGCTGTCACCTTCCATCCACAATTGGACGGAATGTGTTGATGTAGGAGGCAAATTGATTTTTAAAGTATAGTTTGGGGGGCAAATTGATTTTTAATTTGGGGGTAAATTGATTTTTAAGGTATAGTTTGGGAGATAAAATGAAATTTTAAATGCCATATCAGCACATTTCGTCCAATTGTAAACAAAAGGTGACGGTAGAGGTCTAATTGATCAATTTGTGAAAAGTTCAGGTACTAAATTGAAATAAATCGAAGTATGGGGGTTAACGTGAAAAACGCGTGATAGTTTGGAGGGCAAAATGATATTTCCTCTAAAAAAAAATTAGTATGTTTGAAATAATTTTTTAGTTTTTTACAAAAAGATGTACAAAAAGTATAGAGAAAATGGAATATTTGACTTTTTAGTATAGGTTATTAGTTTTTTTGTTTTTTTAGTAACTTTTTAACTTTTAAGCTAAAAATATTGCATGTCAAACGAGGCCTAACTTTTTAACTTTTAGGCTAAAACTATTGCATGCCAAACAAGGCCATAGTCTAAAGAGAAAGAGGGGCATCCACCCTTTATAGGAGATAAGAAGACTTAGTATTTTTCTGAAGAGGGAGACCATAAATTGCATAGCGTCAGCGAATGAGGTGGGTTCATTAACAATTCACAAATAAAAAATGGCAAAAAAGAAAAAGTCCTCTTTAGATAATAGTAAGTCTCCCTGTCTTGAGAGTGGGTGTCCCTCTTTCTCTTTAGACTAAGTTGGTTATATTATTATACCTAACTTTGTAGTGTTATTCTACTTAAATAAATAATCGAAAAGTCTTCTATATCCTCTTTAGAAAATAAAACAATGTGGGGGGTTATACCTCATTTTGTATTATTCTACTTAATAATCGAAAGGCATATCTGTCCCGAAAATCATTCCCAATAGCTGGATGCTCCCTACATTGTATAGTAAGGCTTCTATATCAACATTAGGGAGCAGGTTCTCAACATTGTGAACTACTAAATCGACTCTTCTTGTTGGCAAATAGCCTTTTTGCTCTCTGGGCCATGCTAATTCTTTATCAAGCACCAATTCAATTCTTCCTTTAGTCGATCAATTCCTTTAAGGGATCTACTACGGAAAGAATTTGAATAAGACTGATACCGATTAAGCATGTTGACTATCATCAAGCATACCAGCTCCATCGTGGACTATTTCCGTTACAACCCAACAAAAAAAAGAGGGGTTCTAGTGGGACGGAACAAATGATGTTGAGCCAAGAGCACCTTCATTCCTATATAAAATGGTAGATGTAAAAATCCACAACGAGTCATGTCCTTCAAGTCGCACATTGCTTTCTACCTCATCGTTTCAAACGAAGTTTTACCATAACATTTCTTTAATTTGTAGTTGGAGAATTAACTTCTATGAAATGAAAGTTTCGCGTGAATTGTCTTGATCGCTGGATATCATTGAGAAATAAATAGGAAGAAGTGTGATCGAACGATTTCCTATAATTCTTCCCAGTAGGGAATGAGTAAAGAATCAAGCTACAAGTCTCGATCTATACGAAACGTACCGAATTTTTTTGTGCGTTTCTTTGGGTTTCTTTGATAGCAGAAAAGCCTAACTCTATAGGGGTGCTAGAGCTTGACTAATAGAATATCAAAGGGTCTTGAAAAATGTAATAGGCTGCTACTCTAGGGTCACTTCGCTTCTTCAAGCTCCGCTTTTTCCCCCTATTTTGAACTTTTATGTTTTAAGTTTTTTTCTAATTTAAGCTAACTTATGTTCGAAATTAAACCGAAAAATGTTGTGTTAGAAATCACATGACACAAAACATATTATTATATTAGGATTTGGGTTTGGGTTTGGGTTTGAATTTGTGTCAATGATATAAGTTATATATAATAAAATATTTTTATGACACGTGATTGTCAATGTGTCATTTTCTGTCTAATTTTGAACATAAGTTAGCTTTTGGAGTAAATTTAAAAAAAAAAAAATTGAAACATTAGAGGCCAAAGAGGAGGAAAAATTTTGGAGATTGATTTATTTACAATTTTTATAATTTTTATATACAAACAAAATACTATTGAAGATTGATTTATTTACAATAATGGCATCACTACATCATTTTTGTCAAGTTTTTTGTGTGAATTTTATGTTAAAAAAATGAGTTATGCTAAGAATCCCAAATAATCTACCAAAATTTTTACCAAACGTGTCACATAGGTGTGGGACCCACACGAATCCACATGTGTGTGGCTCCTACACCCATGTGAGAGGTTTGATAAAAAATTTGATAGATTATTTAGGATTCATAGCATTTTCTAAAATAAATTTCATAAAAAAATGACTAAACATAAAAAGGTAAAGTGCTATTTACTTCTTCTTCTTCTTCTTCTTTTTTTTTTTTTTTTTTTTTTGTAAAAACATATAGCTAAACATATCCCAATAATCCAAACAGATGGGATCTTCTCCCTTAATTCCGCCTCAGATTTGGGGATGCTGCTATGCAGCCCGCGCAGAAGCAACTGCTATGCGGTGAAATGGGCCCATTTCGGGGCCCATTTTGATAATCCAAACCATCCCATTTTAGAATGCATCAACTAGAATATGCCTGCAAAAAATCAAGTTAATCGTATATCGTTTACCTATTAATCCACTCATGTTTGTATCTACAAAAATAAATAATAATTGTGATTTAAAGTATTAAAATGAATATAAATGTGAGTGAATAAATAGGTAAACGATATCCGATTAACTTAATTTTTTGCAAGCCTGTTCTACTTGATATATTTTAAAATATGAACATTTCGGATTATCAAAATAGGCTCATTTCACCGTATAGTAGTTGCTACTGCGCAAGCTAGGCAGCAGTATCCCCAATTCCAAAATCCTCAGCCCCTGTTCAAAAAAAATTTCCAAAAAAAAATGAATGGGTAAATTATGTGTCTTTTTCTGGTTCAGTCCACGTCTGTGTGCTCACCATAAGCTTCACTTTAAGAATCAGTTAATGTGTAGATTATTCAAATAATAATAATTAATTTAATAATTATAATTACATAATTTTATTATATTTGTTTTTTTAAAGAAAATGAATGAATTATTTTCAAAATCACAATTATTTTTCACATTTTAAAGAAAAATGTGATGAAATTATGTAATTATAATTATCAGAATAGTTTATGAGGTGAAAAAAATTATTTATGAACAATTTTCTTAGTTATATGATACAACATGATTTATTGATGCGTGTGATTTTTTTTTCTTCATTTCCCATTTTGTTCTCGTAAAAAATCAAGAAATGTATTGTTGTTTTCACAAAATTGAGATTATATTGATCGTTTTACACTGATAAGTGATAGCTTCTGTCAATTGACATCACTCTTTACTTTTAGGCTGTATTTGGTAGAGTTTTCTAAAATTAATTCCATCCTTACATTTTAATGCTATGTTTGGTTTGAGTTTTCAAATCATGATTCCAAACCAATTTTAAAATATATTTTGAAAACATGTTTGGTAAAGCACAATTTTTGAATTTTTGGTCTATCCGATCGTCCACCTGGACATCCGGTCCGACCGGTTAATGAGAACAGCACTCTCTTTTTTTGCAATTGCCAAACGTCACCTGTTATTTGGATCAAAAAAAAAACAATTATATTTATTTTTGATATTTTTTAACTATAGAAATTATTTTTTTTAGACCAACATGACAAATTATTTTTTTTAATTGAATTTTAAAAAGAGTTTGGTTATGAATTTTTGATAGGAATTTTCAATAGAGTTTTGAGTTGTGTGTTTGGTTATGAGTTATAAGTTTTCAATTAAGTTTTGAAAATTCTTTTCAAAACTCATAACTAAACAACTTTTCTCATTTCATAAACAAATTTTTTTTTTTCAAATCATAATTTCAAAACTCACAAACTCAAAATACAATTCTGTTCTCAAATCATAATTCTAAAACTCTGCTAAACACTACCTTAATCATCACAATTCTGTTTCGTTTGGTTTTCATATTTTTTTAATTTTTTTTAAATAAAATATTTAAAAATATTTTTTGATATTTATTTTCTTCAAAATAGTTTATATTTAAAAAAAAAAAAAATAGAAATGCAAACCAAG